CTCTCTCTCTCTCTCTCTCTCTCTCTCTCTCTCTCTCTCTCTGTTTGCGATTGCTAAGTGAGATCTGTGTTGATTTGTTTAATGAAAGATTCGGCTGGTATGTCCATGATGAAGAAAGGCAACTTATCTGTATGTTGGATGAATTGCATGTAACTTACATCAATTTTTTATTGCTTTTGACTCATCAAACAATTTGACCTAAAAATTTGTTGTCTTCAATCTAAAACCGCATAGCCGTATCTAACAGTGAGTGGAGTCACTGAGGAGGATGTTGAGAAGTGATTTCTCTTTGTTGAAGGTCTTGGCTCCTACTATCAGGCATCAACATGTATATAAATCTTCTTTACAAGTTTCACAATTAAGAGTTTTACTGAAAACATTTGTATTGCTTGATGTATTTTCAATAGCCACTAGAATCAATGTAGTAAGTTGTGCTTCTTGCATGAGCACTTGAGCTTTGCAGAGATGAACTCACTCTGAGGAATATCAGATAGTGGGTACAACTGCTAAGGAGGTTTACTTTGATCAAAGGTATATTTAGGATGGTATGTTTAATTGTAGACGAATGTTTTATGTACAAAGAGAAGCTTTTTTATTCTCTGAAGATCGTTAAAAAGATTCAAGGGAGAACTCTTAGTATTGAGAGAACTAGTCTCGGCTGATTAGTTGTGGTAGATGGATTTAGTCGACTTAATGATAAGCTTAGTTGTTGCTTAAATGAATGAATCAACTGAAATATTCTCTGTTTTTGTCAGATGGTTGCATAATGACTAGTTATGTCTTTTGATGTTGAAATCTTGAGTTCTTGTCCTGTGATTGCGTAGTGACTACTTATGTCAATGATTTTTCTTGCAATACTTGGATTTCATGATTAAAGTGTTTTCTCTTTCAAATCTATTGTGTATTAATCTTCTAATTGTATATATATATATATATATATATATATATATATATATTTTACTAAGCAACTGCACTTAATTAGAGTGGTATCATAGTTGTATCTGCCTTACTCTGCATTGAACGCTTTCTCCACTGGTCCAACTCCTCTGAGAGATGAGACTTGGTGTATGACTACGTGGCTAACCATCATTATAATGGTTTGGAAAATCTAACGATTTCTTAGTTCTGAAAGACCAAGAGCTGCTTGAGCGGTTTATAGACAGAGATGAACTATATAACAAATTTCTATTTCTATTGTTATCTTGAATAATCAAGCAAAAGAGTATTTTTGTTATTGTTAATATCAGATATTCTGGAAGGTTTTTCCTAAAGGCTTACTACCTCTTCCTAAAATCATGAATTTCCAAAGTTTTTGGACGGCTTTCCAAAACTATTATACAATCTTTCAGAAATCAACATAACAAAGCTGTCTTCTTCAGTTTTTTGTGTGGTTAAGAAATATGTGCACGAGCATTTTTTCGATACAACACATAGGAATGCTAACCACATACAAGTTCATTTCAAGGGTTTGTTGATGATTTACATGTTTATATTACTGATTTGTAGGTGTTGTTTGTTTGATGATTACGTGATATGCACCATACCACATTTACAGTTTCTTTTGAAGTATATCCTGAACATGATAAATGCTTTCCAAATTTCAGAATTATTTCTGGAAGCCAATCCAGAAATTGTCAAATGCCTTCCAAGTTTTTTTTAGAAAACATGTTTATGCAGTTAAGGTTTAAATATATTTATGTGTTCAATACTAACAGATGATTCTCCTCATCCTAGTGGCTAAAACACTACTCTTACATGAAAGTCACATGCCCCACGAGTTCGATACTCCTAGAAAGCAGAATTATTTTCTGGAAGCCCATCTAGAAATTTCCAAATGCCTTCCAAGTTTTTCTAGAAAACATGTATATACAGTTAAGGTTTAAATATATTTATGTGTTCGATAGTAACAGATGATTCTCCTCAGCCTGGCAGCTAAAACACTACTCTTACATGAAAGTCATATGCCCCGCAAGTTCGATACCGCTAAGAAACAGAATTATTTTCTGGAAGCCCATCAAGAAATTGCCAAATGCCTTCCAAAACCTGCCTTCGGTCCCTTTGGAAACAAAACATTTTTCTGTTTTTAATTAAATATAAATATGTTATTTATATCAGTTTAATTATAACACTTTACAAGTATAACACGCTTGGCATAACAGCTGCACACTAGGATTCCATTTTCTAGAGTTCCTGGGTTCAATCCTAATACTTTGACAATTAATTCCTTTTATGAAGTAAAGTCTTATGCTTACTCATTTTATTTTCTGGAAACTCATCATAAAAATGACATAAGCTATCCTAGATACAATATGTTTGTTTATTATGATAACACATTTTAACTCTTTCTTGATAGAATTTCTGACAATGTTTCAAAACATCCTAAAATTTCTTTAATAACAATCTAAATGAAACAAACGTCGTCATCATTCATTACAAATTTCTTACTTGTCCAAGTCAACATCAAAGTTCAAAAACATAGTCTTATCATGACATGTATTGATGTTGCTGTCATCCGTAACTAAGCCAAAAAAAAATTCAGATTTTTTAGCATCAGATTTTCTGGAAAGTTATCTTGAAACATTGAAACACCTTCCTAAATTTAAAAAAAAACTATGGAAAACTATCCTGAAACTTTGAAACACCTTCTTTAAATTAAAATATTAGTAGCTTTGATATCTCTGTGTACAAACTTCAACGATTCCTCAGAGAGAAACGCTAGACCTTTTTATAAACACTAGATAGTTTTACAAGCACGAGAAACAAGAGACTAATAAGCAAATTCAAGAGCATATCAAAGATATCAACATGCCTAAGCAGAAAAAGACACCAAGCAAAAAAAGTTTCAAAATTTGTTACCATCCGAGTTTCTGAAAGGCTTTCCTGACATACACACATGCTTCCTTGAAATTTTATAAAATCTAGACAGTTTAACAAGCACAAGCAACAAGAGACTCATAAGCAAATTCAAGAGCCTATCAAAGATATCAACATGCCTAAACATAACAAGACACCAATAAAAAAAATTAAATTTGTTACCATCCGAATTTTTGGAAAGCTTTCATGAAACTACACAAACTCTTCCTGAAATTAAAAAAAAATGGCCGCACAGTTCCACAAGAAAGAGCAATCGACTAGAAACAACATACTTAAGCAAATTCATGAGATCAACAAAGATATCAATATGTGTAAGCAAAACAACTAACCAAGCAAAAAAAAAATCAAATTTGTTAATATCAGATTTTCTGGAAAGCATTCTTGAAACTAAACAATCCTTCTTGATTTTTTTTTAAAAACACTACACAGTTTCACCAGCACAAGCAAAAAGAGACTAATAATATCATAAGCATTTGATGAAGCTCAACTAGTTCTCGAGAATAGCATCTGACGTAGGTCAACAAAATCAAAAGGTACATTACCTAAAAACCTTGTGTTCCCACATTTAACAGTCTTTGATTTGAGCTCTAACAACTTCTAAGGATGTTTCCTTCGCTACACAACAAACACAACACAATTTTCTCTTTACCATAATAACTTCTTGGGTTAATAGTGGTTTCTTCAGCTACAAACAGTACCAAACAGTTTAACGAGTCACATCACACTTGCAATTAACGAGAACAAGAAAAATGTATAACTTTTATGTGTGTTCTTAACTAGGAAAAGCTATAACTCTTAGAGAAACAAGAGAACTAAAATATCAAACGCACACATACATGGAAATAAATAGCCAAGAATAGTTCTACTGATCACAACAGTAGCATTTAACTTCCATGCTACTAAATATCCAATCTTAGAGGCATTCTATCGAACACTTTAAAGGCATAACCAATATTAGCAAGACATATACTTTTCCAAAAATATAAGACGGATCATCTTAGATTTTTGTACTGGTCAAAGTGAATCTGTTCAATTAATACAACAAAGAAAACTTACTAGCTCTCAAGAAACTCTAAAATGCAAGCAATCATTGAAGAGAAACACCATATTTGAATCTCAAAACCCTAGACTTTGTAATCATACTAAAAAGGCGTCATTGGAGAATCGATTCTCTTCATCGGATATGATGACAGTTTTCTTCGCCAGAGATGATGAAAGGAATCGGAGTCGCCGTGAGATGATGTCAGTGTTCTTCGTCGGAATGACGGAGTCTCCATGAGAGAGATCGAAGATCAAAGACATTTTTTCCAGTGGTTTTATTTAATTTTAACAAGGATATTATAGACATTTTACCCAGTAATAAATGTCATTTCTGTGACTTTTCCTTTCTGGTGCTATTTTGGAGACAAAAACTTCAAAATGGTTATTATAGAGAATTGCCCTTATATTTAATGTTGATATTATTTATGGTAAAAGTTTTAAAATATGGTAATAACTCATACATCATCTTTAAAATAATTATATTCAAATATAACATTACAAATTCTGAATTATTATTCTATTTTATTTTTTATATTATACAATTTATATTACTAAAGTTTTCAAAAATTTCTACCATTTTTTAAAAATATAAATTTTGAATCGTACAATCATTAGTTTCTTATATCTCTACAAATTTTGTAAATACTGTTTAGTTTAAATTTTTGAGAATTATACAATTTTATATCACTTTTATTAATTTTATACACATTAACTCAATATATTTAAGCACTATAAATGGGTAGAAAAATCTATCTAAGATTATAATTTTAAATACAAAAAAGGATTTTATATTAGTTTAATGTTTTACTTAATTAAATCTATATTTAAATATTCGTAAGAAAATAAGAAAATAAGAAAATCTATAATATTAATAAAATTTATTATTAAATATAATTTAAGCTTAAAAAAAAATTCAGTGCACATAATGCAGGAAAACACCTAGTAAATACGCAGTCGCTGCTGGCGGGAGCGGATTCATAAATTTTTTTAAGCATAATTTATACTATAATTTTATTATAATCAAATAACATCATCTGGCAATATTTGTGCCTGCCTTATTATATAAGTTGGACATTCAAACTTACATACTCTACTATATTACTGATAAGTACATATATATTCTAGGATAGATTGACTTCTCTCAATTCTAGTTTGATAAGGTTTAAAAATCCTAGTTTGATAAATATATAACTATTTCATATGTATCTCTGACCATGTCATAGTTGTATATATAATTCGATAACCAAATCTACTCTTTACTTATAATGTCCCGTCCAAACACATAAAATGGCATGCGTTCTAAATTTATCGTTCATGTATATTTGCATGATTATATTTGAGGTGGTTACTTAGTAGTTGATTTAGATGTATATTTGAGAGACCATATCTCAACACTAAGGAGTTTTTTTTTTGCCTAAATTTGGCAACACTATAAGAAGTTGGAGTGAAAATCTTAGTAATCGAGCAATAGTAGGATGCACATGCTTAATGCTTTGCTTGTTTATTTTCCAAAGTTTTAAATCTGTTTCAAAAGTTAGATATATGATGAAAGAGGCAAGAAGAATCGGATATTTCGAGAAAGAAGATAACATTTATTCGCATGCTCTTATCATTCCACTTGTGTGGTTCTGTAACTATTCAACTAAATATTGCACCTTCATATTCTTAAATCAAGTTTTCAAAAATATAGTTTCGTTTTCCTCTCACAACAACTAGCAACGATTAATTTTTATTTATACTTTGGTAATACCAAAGACCAATAGTTATTTATTTAGAAAAACTATACGCAAAATGCAACTCAATCACATTTTTTAATGTATGTAAGTTATTAAACTATAGACCAATATTGCACCTTCATATTCTTAAATCAAGTTTTCAAAAAATTAGTTTCGTTTTCCTCTCACAACAACTAGCAACGATTGATTTTTATTTATACTTTGGTAATACCAAAGACCAATAGTTATTTATTTAGAAAAACTATACGCAAAATGCAACTCAATCACATTTTTAATGTATGTAAGTTATTAAACTATAGAACCCATTGGCGGATCCAGCGAAGCCAGGTTTTGGGGGTGTCAACTATAGAGAATAACCATCAGAGCTGTCGACACTTACTGATAGTTGCAAACAAAAATAAATTTTATACTTTTATTGAGTGTCAGTTGACCCACTATTAATGCATGTTGTTCCGCCTCAACGTCAACCCGCCAACGCAACTAATCACAGTCAAACATAAATCTTTGAGGCTAAAGAAGGAATTAACATATTGATTTAGAGAATAAGTGTTTCATGGGCACATAAAAACTACATGGCCCAAAAAGAATGACTTGTGGAGCTAAATGAAAATATAGAAGGAAAGATAAAACTACCTCTAGAATGAAGGGTATTAGGAATGATGGTGCTATATTGTTTGACTTATATAAGTGAGATATGTTATTGATAGGAAGTATAATCTCATTTCTTTTAAAAATTTGAAGTATGCTTTAGGGTCTGATTGAAAGAGGTTTCAAATCTTTTACTGTAAAATTAAGACTAGAATTTTGTGGCTATGGACTATAATGTTTTAGGATTTTTAAAATTAGTATCTTTTTGATATTTTCTAACACTAAGATGTTAGTGTTATGTATTTTACTTATAAAACCAAAAATTGTATAACTTTCAAAATATTTATAAAGTATGACGAGAAGAAATTTAGTACTTTAAAAATTATGGCTGTGAAAAACTCTACGTACTTGCCATGCAAATTCTTTAGCACTTCGATTTTTCTTTTTCAAGAAAAGAGAGTGAAGTGAAGTCTTTACATCAATTTTTTTTTAAAAAAAACAGAAAAATGATTCACTAAATCTTAGATCATCTCCAATGGTGTTCTTAGCACTATTAAACTATTATTTTTTATTTTTTTTTGTTATAATAGTGAAGGACTTTAATCAAAATTCCAATGGTGTTTTTCAATTTAGAGTTCTTAGAAATAAAAAATATAATAAATTTTAAAACAAATGAAATTAAAAAATTTAATTATTGCATGATTAAATAAGTTCTTTATCGTTGAGACCAATTTTTTTTCTCGTCTTGAGTCGAGAATGAGAAGTTATTTTTCCAAAACGAAACACATTACTCCACCCATCCAGTGGTACGCTGCCATGTCTTTAAGGACCAAATCCTTATAATCCTTAGTCCTTATAATCCTTAACTAATGATCAATCTTTAGCTAATTTAGGTTTTATAAAATTATTGTACTCATTTTAACCTAAGATTTTGTGCTAAGGACTCGTGATAAACTTCCGTTGTGGATGCTAGAGGCACTGGTGTTAAATGGCAAAAACACAACTGACAAAAAGTTCATTTATTTTCAAGTTCTTGGGGTTGACCTTTAAAAGGCATTATTTCCTACGTTCTTAACAAAGTTTTGTAATGTTTATTTGGAGTAATTTTACTTTTGGTCAGTAGTTATATTCATATTTAGTTACCGCAGAACCTAAGCGAAAAAACTTATAGTAACATGTTAAAGGAAGTACCCGGAAAATATATATAATTTAATAACTTAAAGCATGACAGAGCGAGTGTTAGACCAAAAAAAAATGATAGAGCGAGTGAACTAAGACAAACTTCTTCTACGAAGACCGATAGAGAGACGCCAAGTATCAATAAGGTTCTCCGGTAAAAGACCAACGAGAAACCACTGAAGGGAATGAGCCCAAAATGGCGAGCATTGTGATCCAATTCCGATCTGCTCCACCGCTGCTTTTGCATATACTTCCGGCGATGGTACAAAGAAGCTTGGTTTATCTATATCTGCTACTTCTGACACCATCCTCGTTGCCACGTATAATGGCACCTGCCCATTACATGGGAAATCATAACATATTACTATATAAATACATCATTTCTAAGTTACAAAAAAAACATACATCGTGTTCTTAAGAGAAAAAAAAACGAAATGGTACCTGGCATTGGACGTCGATACCAAAGTGCTTATATTCTACATGCAAAGATCTTGATAGTTTATCAACATAACTGCATTCACATATTCGTTAATTCATGCATGTGGTTATGGATTATGCATAAAATTCATAAAAATAGCTGACATTTTCTTTTACCAGAAAAACCATGTGAATAAAATGACAATTAGTTTCTACATTTTACAAAATGAGAATTAGCTTTTCTGGATCACCAAAGATATTTATAACATAAGAACTTATGGACAAATGATACTATGTATTGCTATGATGCTATGATTGCTATCTATCAAAGTAAAAACGTTACTTAGTTGTCAATTTTTACAAATAACAACACTATCTAGCTAACTAGAACTAGGTTCCGTCGCGTGATTATTCATCATAATTACTTTAACTATCCACCTTGCTAAAAAGTCGTAAATGCACGGGTCTTATGTGAGTGGGTTAGTGGGGAATGGGGATATACATCTACGTGTATGGAGTTGATTACACAATTTCATACACAATTTATTCTACAACAACTAATAAGTAATAACTACCAAAAAATTAAAAAAAAAGGATCGGACCAAAACCTTAGGGCATTATTGGAGGTGATTGGTTGGACTGTAACTGTGGAAATTTTACCGTAGAAATTATTCTGTAGACATTTTGGATGTAGCTATATCTAATGTAATTGTAGAAATTAAATGAGAAAAAAGGAAAAAAAATGAAAGATATTCCTACAGTAATATTTTTTTCTTTAGAAAATGAGGTTCCTACAACCATTTTTAAATTTTTTTTACTTTAGCTTTAAAAACTAAAAGGGACCAATCGCGAGCTGCTATGCGTCATAGGCTCCATGGAACCGTAGAATAAATGCACAACGGACGTTTTGTATTTGGCTGACTTTCGTTGTGAGTTTTAACAAATTTGCGCCCCCCCCCCCCCTCCCTAAGAACCTTGCGAAAAGAATAATCTTGCCCTTAATAACTACATGAAAGTCACTTTATTTTTCAGTATTAAAATAAATATATAATTTAAGATTTCCAGTATACCGATTTACACTATAATGCATGATTTAAATAACTATGAAGTACTAGTGTTTCAAAAAAAAAAGGAAAAAAAACTACGAACTTCTAATTGAGCTAAACAACTAACTTTCATTTTTAGTCAATGTCTTTTAGTTAGACCTCACAACAACCAAACTTTAGTTTCCTATACTGTCTTAGTTAAGGATAAATTTCTGTCTTGTTTAATTGTCCCATGACTCCCATCTAGGGCTGGGCAAAAAAAACCGAAACCCGAAAATCCGAACCGAACCCGACCCGATAAAAAGGAATCCGAACCGATCCGAATCCGACATAAATACCGAATGGATCTCGTTTTACGGTATTTCGGACTACGGGTTTTATCCGAACCGAACCCGAACTTAAATGGATATCCGAAAGAACCCGAAACTTTAAAAATCCAAAAAACTTATATCATACTCAATCTAAATTTCTAATATGTTTCCAAAACACATTAATATATTATTGAGTACCTATAATAATTAGTTATGATATGAATAATTAACTCAAATATTTAGTCTAATATATAGTGTTATTTGGTTGTTACTAATGTTTATGATTGACACTACATTTGAAGTTAAGTTACGAATAAATTCGTTTTGAAGTTTAAATAATGTTGTTTTTTAAATTTTCAATATTACTTCTTACGTTTATATAATTGTTAGTTGTTAACTTTAACTTTTTATGTTTCATTATGTATGATTTTCGTTCATACAAGACTTTGGTTTATCATTAATCATGATTTGTTTAGTGTTGTCACATATAGTTCAATGACAAATCTTATATTGTTGATAGATGAGTTTCATAATATTATTTAGAAGCAGAACAATACGGTTTGTAGAAGCTAAATACACAGTTTAATAAAAAGATTGAAAATATAGTGAATTTAATTGAGTATAAATTAGTATTTTTGGAATCGATAACCCAATAAGTATCCGAAACCGAAACTATTTCGGGTTCAACTGGATTTTGGACATGTTACTAAATCCGAACTGAACCCGATTAAACCCGAACCGAATCCGACCCGAATTTTTATAATATCCGAATGGGGCTAAAATTCATGAAACCGAAAACCCGAAACCCGAATGAACCCGAACCGAAACCCGATTGGGACCTCGAATGCCCAGCCCTACTCCCATCTAACAATTTTTAAGACCTCTAAGTTTTTTCGTCACAAGGAGATATATTTAAAAATGTACGTTGAATTTAAGCAGTAAATAAAGAGGAAAGTGAAGTCCTAACGCTTTGGTGGCGGCGTAGATGGCGTAGAGAGGATGAGAAGGGACAACAACGGCAGCGCCGGAGCTAATATTGACAATGGCTCCACGACGGCGGTGAAGCATTGGCCCGATGAGAGATCTTGTAACCCAAGTGGTGGCTTCAAGATTGACCCTAAGGATTTTGGTCCATGTGAGTTGGTCAACCTCGTGGAAGAACATGGCTCGTGGATAAGTTATCCCAACGTTGTTTATCAGAATTCCAACTTCAACGCCTTTGATCCCCTCCTCTATTGCTTCATATCCTCCTTCTGCACATTTCTCCAATTTATTACTACTCATAAATACTTTCTTTCATTTCTATATTACATCTGCCACTATCTTTAGTTTTGCATCTGTATCATTTTATAGGCGAAAATAGCTTAGAGGTATATATGTCTTATTTTTAGTTTAATCATGTAAATGCAAACATTATCATACTAACTTGGAAATCTAGTTTATGATGAACATTATGATGAAAAAAACATTATATATGATGAACATTTAATTCTCGTAGAGCATCTGGCCAGTGTCATAACAATTTAATCGCGTTGTACTATAATAAAACTCAGGTACATTTTGCAACTCTAGAGTAATTGTGTACTATATATACTTTAATCAAGTTTACAACCATGTTGTTATGCGCGCGCGCACACACACACACAATAACTAGTTCTATAGATTTATCAAAAAAATAAATAACTAGTTCTATAGGATTGACCAAAAGTGAAGTGAGGACTGCATTTAAAAGTAGAGAAAGTGCATCTAGTCTTACCAGAGGAGAAGTCAAAGGGAATGATCTTGATCTTGATTTGTGGAAACTCTTGTCTGAAATTATTGGAGACAGAAGCAAGCTTTGAAGGGTTTCTGCTGACTAGGATGAGGTTAAGACCGTGTTTAGCCAGCTCGTGAGCAAATGCTCGTCCGATCCCATCTGTGGCTCCAGTGACCATAGCCCACGAGCCATAACGCTTGAGCCGCCTGGGGTTAGTGAGGAGGAATCTCGTGGTGAACCATTTTAAGAGAGGATAGAATAGTCTAAGGAGAGAGAGAAAACCTATGAAGCTTACGACATGGAGATGCCATGTTGTTTGCATGTTCTTCTTTCTGTTTCTTTCTATTTTTTTCTGTTATGGTTTTCTATTTGTTTGCTGATTTTGTGTGGTCATGAGATTTGGGCATGGAGCTAACTCACTCTCTTTATGTGTGATAAGTAGAATGGTGAGAGAGTTAGAGAGATATTTATTTGTTATTTTCTTTCTTCAATCTTAATTACTTTACACAAAAATGAATTGAAATAACACAGATTGTATTTTACAATGAAAGGCCAAGTCAGTGTCATCATTACTGTTTACGATAAGTTTTTTTGTCGTATAAAAAAGAAGAAAATAAAGATTGAAGAACGTGAAAGAAAGTACTCAAAATTCAAGTACATAACAGGAAGAATATGATACTTTTGTGAAATTGGTAGATTGGGGTTTCACCCAAAAAGGACTTAGCATTCAATTTGTGAACAGTCCCTCATGTTAACTTCAATGATTTGGTTCCATTGCAGATTTAGAAATTAATTACGTTATTGAAGTGTTCACCTAATTTTGCTCATTCTGTCCAAGCTAGTTCGTCCAATTAATTCAATTCTAGTTTTGGACCATAATAGGATGGTTAGATAAAGTTAAATTTATTTCTCGGGTTTGGTTAGAGACAAACCTTAAATACGTCAACTCCAAACCTCAAGTTTTTGGGAATAGTGGAAATAATTAATGAGTAGGTAGCAGGTATGATAGTCTAGAAGTCTCCGTCTCTCCTCCTCCAGGTAAATGCCATCAAAGATAAATTTGTTTGGTTTTGGTTGATAGATCATATGCTATCATAAAAATAAAAATATTACAGTCATTCAAAACTTGGTCGCTGCAGATGCTTTCTTCTAAGTCAAGGGAGAACAAATGTCTAAGGCAAACAAACCACCAGCAATAACGTACTGAGTCCTAACCAAAACATTATAGGAGTATGAAACTGAAAAACTAGATGAAGAAAAGCTCGCAAAAAATCGAGACATTATTCAAGGATATATATATACAAGACGACACCTATCATTCTCTTCTTACGCGTCTACAAAGAATAGGACGAATATGGAAAAAAGAAAAGAGAGAGAAAAAGGGCAAGCTGTGTGTTTCTGTTGTATGTGGTTTCATGCAAGAGGCCTAAGAGATTATCCATCACCTGTCTTGTTACAAGATAGAAGCTAGGAGCCACAGATGCAATAAGAGACTGTATACCATAACGCCAAGCCTTGCTTGAGGACGACTCATTAATACTCTTCCACCTGAGACCCTGCATTGCACAAATCAAACACGACTCTCTCAATAAGATGAACAACAACTCAGGAGCCCTTTCAGATCAGGGTGATATGATTTGAGTGTTTACCATATTCCATCGACCCGATCTGCTATCGTCTTTCCTTGCGTTGGAATCAGACCAGACATGTTGAGAGACTTGAAAACATGTCCTGCCAAAGAAATAAAATAGATTGCGTTTAAGATGAATGAGCTTAGAGGCTCAAGCAATACTTTGTCAATAAGCGAGATAGATATGTAGACGCCTCAGTTCTGACCTTTATCTTCATCTGTTTCGTTGTGGTTCATCAGATGCTCAGACTCGGAATCTATGTTGATTGAAAGATGATCCGCTGATCCTTTCCTCACCGTTCTCACTTGCGCTGCTGTAGGCACAGGTGATATTGATTTTTTCACCAAGGCTCCCTGAGCACAAAACGTTTTCAGTCATTTTGTGAAAATCGAAGCTAAATCATTTCTTATGAAATAATCAAAAGGTATCAGTAACATTTTATACTTTTAAGGTCATAACTTGGGCTGCAGAAGAGTAAGAAAATACCAGGAGAATTATGCCATAGATGGCATCCACAAGGGTCAATCATTAGCTGAAATAGCACAAGATAAAGTTTTACCTTGTCCTCAATCTCAGATATCTCTGAGGTAGAAGGTGCTTCGAAGATGCTCCTTTCAAGAACGACATCGGGCTGAATGGCTTTGCTTTGAAGTTTATCCTCAAGTTCTTTCACTTTTACTGATAATTTATCCACAAGTTTTTCGCTGCTGACTAACTTTAGACCAAGGTCTTGCGCCCTTGTTTTTGAACTCTCTGACTCTAGGAGAAGGGAAGCTACCTTTCTCTCTAATGCTTGTAAGACTGTCCATGACTCAGAGAAGTCTGTCTCTACAACAGGATCATTGCCAGCCAACATACCCAGCAGTTTCTCCAAACCAGATACTAGCTTGGACAATTCGTTCTTTGCCTTCACTAATTCTAGCTCGTCCGTACTATTTGCTTCAGCCGCCTCCTTCAGACCTTGAATTTCAAGATCCTTTTCTGCCAAGGTGGAACTGAGCTCGTCTTGTTCATATGATAAAAGGTCTATCTGATGCTGCATCTCACTAACACTATCAACAATTGCGTATAGCTTCTTTACATCATAAGGACTCTGAGGATCTAATCCGTTCACCTGATCTACTAACGGCACATCAATACCACTTATCTTGTCAAAAAGGGCACGCATATCAGAAGCTGGAATTAGGTTTTCCTTTGCTTCTGCAATCCGAAGAAACAGAACGTGACAGGTCAGTAAAGTGGTAAACATGTTAAGAATACTCATACAACTGATTTGAGAAAAGAAAAAAAATTACCTTGCTCTTGCACCAACAGTTTATCATGTAACGCAGATAGTTCCACCTCTTTTTCATGCCATTTCTCTTCTTCGGCTTTGAAATTTTCCAGCTGGAGTTTCAGATCTTGGCAAAGCGCTTCCATAGATTCCACCTTGGCCTCAGAACTTGAAACCTTAGTTTGGTTTAGATCTCTTTCTACCACAACCTTTTCTAAAGCTGCAGATGTCTCTTTTAGTCTGTTCTCCAAATCTCGAATTACAACAGCAGCAGCAGTACTTGTTGTCTCAAAGAGCTTAAGAGTGGTACAGGCATTCTTTGTAGCAGAAGATAATTCTTTTACTCTCCGAGCGCATTCACTTACATGATGCTCCTGTGGATGTTCAATTGATTCAGTTTCACTACCGTTATCATTTTCTTCGAACTGAACAACCTCTAGGAGGTCATTTTTCACTTCCGATTGCAGTTCCCTGGACGACTCACCACATACAGACATCAAAGATGACAAATCTGTTTGCAATGCAGATATAGTGTTTTCCTGTTCGCGAACAATATCTTCTGCACTCCTCACCTGTTCTTTCAAGGATTCATTATGACCCATGACATTCATCACATCCGCCCTAGATGCTGTCATATTTTCCATTAATGCCGCAATGAGTGTATCAATGGAAGTTGAGAAAACCTCAAAGTTTTTCTCAAAATTTCTGTTTCTAAGCTTCACCTCCTCTGCGATCTTTCTAAGGGATGAAGAAATTTCGTCTTCATCAACTACATCCCTTTTATTATTCTCCAGCTCTGTATCCACTGAATCATCAAGACCACTCAACAAGGATTTGACCACAGTCGAATCTTCCTGGAATATAAACAGCGTCAAGAGAACAGCCGTGTTAAAAATTTGCCAAGAAAAGATGCATATAGTCTGGTGACAATATTACTAAACTCGCACACACATTGAATAGAAATACGTACTACTGAAAAATGTTCACAGATTAGTATTCATCATTCTTATCTCCGGTTAATCAACTTCTACACAGAATGTATTCTAACTAGATGTGTGTAACTTGGCAAACAACAAACTGGAGATCCCTATAGGATAATGATTGTTTGAAACCTATAAATATGCAAGGAATGATGAAGGGAAACGGTCAACTGATAAGGTTTGATCTGGTCAGATTCAAGAATATTGTTACCTCTGTAATGTTGTCCATTTCCCCTGTCATTTTCTTTTCACCAAGATTCTTTATGATATCTCTAGCAATGACATCTATGTCTTTAAGGCTCCTGAATTTCCTTTCAAGGAATTCATTCACCCTGGAAATTAGCCCTCCATCCTTCAGTGCCATCTGAAGATCATCAAGATGAGTGATAATCTCGAAAGACTTGCTCTGTGTGTTTCCACTTGATCCAGCTAACTCTTCCATGCATACATTAAGTTTACTACTGAGAGTTGATATCTCGACTTCAGCTTTAACCATTTCTCCTTGTAGGACAGAGAGACTGTTCTCCGCCTTCATCAGTGCCTCTTCGAGGGATCCTATTGTCAAAGAAGCATCGGCCATCTTGCTACGCTCTAACTCTACCTCATTTTGAAGTTTCTCTAACTCTGTCTTCAAATTTGTAGTAAGAAATTTGTCATCCTCCATATGTTTGGACAACGATTCCATGTTGTTTTCTGTTTGAGCAAGTGTATCTTCAAGTGATTTTATGGTGCTATGTGCTTCTGTTAATTTGCTATTCTGCTCTGAAACTTCTTCTTTCACCTTCTCGAGCTCCATCTCTGCAGTAGCAGTACTGCTTTGAGCCTCTTCCTTTTCACTGATGATATCAGATATGTTTCTTTCAGCCTGCTTGAGTGCAGCTTCAAGAGTATTCTTAGTTGCACAAACTTCATCTAATTCGCTAGACAGAGAGGAGGCCTCTTCAACTGCTTTCTGCAGCTCAAGTTCAACATTTTCCTTGGCAGCTTGAAGTTGCCTATTCTCTTCAGCAAGTCGACTGATGTTACCCTCTGCAGTAGACAGGGCATCCTCAACCAACTTCAACGCTGTGTGAGTTTCTGCTAATTTACTGGCTAATGTACTGGCTTCTTCTTTTACTTTTTCCAGCTCTTCTTGCTCCTCTACTCTCGCCTGCTGCACTTCCTTGAAGTACCCAACAAGTCGGTCAATCTTTTCTGAAGAATCCTCAGTTGCTAAATCAACAGGGATGCTCATGGTTTCAACCGATTTCATCACTTTCTGCAACAAGGTGTCATTCAGAGATAAGGATTGCTTAAGCTGATCTCTTTCGTCTGTAATAGCACCAAGTTCAGCCTCTATCTCTTTTGTGCGCTCTAAGTCTCTCGATATCATATCTATCTGACTCTTGTGGCTATCAACCATACCAGTTGCTTGCTGCAACTCGAGCATCAGCTTCTCGATTTCAGAGCTTTTCTCATCCAACTGAGTT